AAATGCATTATTTTATTGGTCTAGTTTCATAAAACCCACTTCTGTGAGCTGTAAGTATGCTTAGAGAGTGGATTACAAATTAGCCCTTTCAGGATTTCTTTTGTGGATAACATAAACAGTTTGTCTGTGAAATGAAAAATCACTAGCCACGTACTCCCTTGCCCTGCTGTGAAGTTCTGCATTTTTTGAACTAAGGAAAAAGAATGATCAAGTGTTCTAAAATTATAAAAATCCAGTGATTGTGAACAATCAGTAACTACCAATCAGAGGTTGTGTTAAGGTTGTTCTCCACCATCCTTCCGCTGCTGCAGATGTAATGGTTCAGCTTGCTTTGAATGACAAGGCAAATTAAAAAAAAAAAAACCCACATCCTTTTCCAAGTCTCTTCAGTGCGGGCTTATCAATTTCCAAGTCTTATCATTTGTCTCCAATAGTGACAGATGAAAGCCATGAATGTTCAATGGGAATTTTCTGCCTTTTTTTCCCATTCAGAGATAATTTATGTAAGTAGAAGATATAATGAGGATACTAAATTAAGTGTGTCTGTGTATATAAATAAAATTGGTTTGTTACCCATTTGCCAGCATTTTGGCTCAGCTGCAACAGTGAGTGTCATAACCGCTTTAAAATTGATTAGACAATTTAACTTGAAATTTAACTCTGGTTATGGCAGAGAGAGATAAGCCTGTGAATAGGAGCATAAAACATTAATCTTGCAGTTCTCCAGCTGATCTCAGTAAAGCTGGCGTGTTGTGTTTATTCTTTGGCTTTGAAGAAATTTGAAGTCTTATGCTTCCGTGTGACCTCTACACACATGAGTGGTCTTTGACTTATTATATGGTGAAGAATCAACGGTTCCTTTTGCTTGTTCTAAAACTGAACTGGCTTTTTGTTAAAACAGAGGTGTTTCTGCAGCACGCAGGGATGACATGCCTTTTTTTTTTGGCAGGGAAGGCTGGGTTTTTTTGACTACTAACTCTTCTGTAAGTTGCTGCCCAAAAGAGACCTAAAAGCGGTGTTTCTATCCAGTCCCACAGTGGCTGCCAGTGTTGAAGGAACATGAATGTGCAAAAAGAAATAGCCATTTTAATTGGATGCAAATCTATTTTAATTTGATATGAAGCTGTTCAGAACAACATTTCCTATGCTACTTTCATTTTCAATTTTTGTCTGTATTGTGATGCTTCATCAAGGAAAGACTCATTTAGCCTCAGTGAAGTGGCAAAGCAACAAATGTGAAGACAGCCAGTTCTAAGGCCTTCTCCACCTATTTTCACATCTGTAACAGCAGTAACTTCCTTTCAGCTGGAGTTTTGGAGTGCTTTAGGGCAACCATATGCTGGTCTGGAGTAAGTTCAGCTGCTATTTCTGCTTTTAGTGGACATCCTATTCCCTGATCTCGATCTGTTCTTTAAATTGGTATAAAGAATAAGTGGTTTGAAGTGGACATGCTTTCCAGTAAGAAAACCAATTCACCAAAGCACAAGTGGAAAAAAGGCAAGGTACAAATGTGTTACCTTTTTAGTCAGTTATATCTCTCAGTTTTTGATCTCCATAACGCCTGTATTTCACTTACCACACACATGAAGTCTCCAGTTTTAACTAGCAGGTAGGCTGCTAAACAGTCTTTTGTAGCAGCCAGCATTTTTAAGTGGTTTGGTTGACAATATTATCAGACCCTCGTTGAACCCCTATTTTAAAAGCAGATAGTAGTGTTTTCTTAAACACCTGACTTCCAAGTTTAGCTCAAAGTTACTGTTCTGCTCTTGAAAATTCTGTCCATTTCTATTTTGTAAGTATATAACTATGTATTATAGTAGTGGTATTACTTTTATAATATCGATAAACTCTAAGGGAAATATTCCAAGTTATGTAGTTGTTATAAGTGATGTACATGCATTACCAGACTGGATAGGATATTCTGACTCTTATTCTGTGCTATCCTGTCACCTTCATTTCTTTCTAGCTAATTTTGGTATAGTGATGTCAATCAAGCATTGTCTCTCACATTTTTATGTCGTATTCCAGTACCTCTCAGGACAGAATGCTGTTCCTAACATTGAAAAGCACTAGTTTTTGCAGGACCCAGATTCTGAGTTAGAGCTTATGCTTTACAAGGGAACGCTGCTTCAAATTTTCTTGGTGGTCTGAATGCTAGGGTGTCTGCTGTGTGGGCAAAGCTGGTCTAACACCTGCATGTTTGGTTCCTAGGATCAGTCAATTCTAAGAGAGCACAAGCATGCTTTTCATGCTCTGTCCTTTTTTTCCTTTTTTCCCATGCAATGGTACACTGATTGCTATTTAAAAGTCACCATTTACCAATACTCACGGAATCATCATCCTCCGTATTAATACTGTGTATCATTATCAGGTGCCTATTACTGCTTGTCAGCTCAATGGATTTTGATATTTAGGACTACACAAATACGTATCAAAATATAAGTATACATTACAAATATCACAGATACTTCATGTTCTAAATAGAAGGGAAACTGGAGTATTGCTTGCTGGTGATGATTGTGAGGTATTTTACTTTCTTATTTCATATTCTGTTCGTATTCTGTTTGTATTTCAAAACCTGTAAAATGATTTTTTTGCACTTTCAAAGAGCTTTAAAGATTTCAGATAAAGTGTTTATTTTGGATTTTATTCCGTCGCAAAAAAGGATAGCTTAGCACTTAGTAATGCAAGCGGTTTCTTTTTCTGACATATTAAAAATGTTGCTAAAAATTACCTGGAGATTTTCTGCTTGACATTTCCTTAAACCATTTATTCACTTCTTAGGCAAAGAAAGTAAAAAGATCAGGAGTGCAGACATCTGAAGATGTATGCCAGACATTATTTCCAAGAATTGTACAGAAAACAATACCCATTTGCAGAAGCACTTTTGCTCTTTGACTGTCATCGGTGTGCTTTTTTATCTCTGTTGCTTTTTATCAGTGGTCCTTACTGCTTTGCACATGTCTCCTGAAGCTTGAACTACTTTGGCTGTTTGTAATATGGGCCCGTAGTTACGGAGTATAGAAGATCACTTTTGAAGCAAAGAAGTTGCACGTTAACATATTGTAGATATATATGGCTTGGATTTCCTGAGTGCATGTCTGTTCGGGTCTTTATTCAGTTATTCAGTGTGCTGGGATACAAGTCCATCCAGCTCTCCAGGAGGTCTGAGGACCTCAGCAGCATCACTCCATCCTCTGCTTGAACACAGAGCCTTGCTCTTGGAAGAGCGATCATATGTAGCCTTTTCAGTGTACCTGGTAGAGCCTTCAGTCATTTTTCAAATCCAAAATGCTTACAAAAGAAAGTAATGCCATTTTCTCCCTGCTGCCTTTCTGAAATCTCATGTTGGGAAAAGCACTTACCATGTATTTCATATGAACAGAAAGCGCTCAGTAATGACTGGTATTTCTGAGTCTGTTGCAGCCAGCGCAGCTGTTGAAAATGTCATTGTGGATGGCACAAACAGGGTAGGATTTTGAGCAAGACTATCCACCATCTGACTTTGATATTAGTTGAAAAGGAAAAAAAAAAAAAGCAATAGGATGTTTGAAGAATGGACAACCTGTTGTCTATCTGTAAATGCATGAAATGGAACAAAAATAGAAAAGTGTTATTATTGGTTCTTGAACTCATCAGTAAAATTACTTTATTCAGAATACTAGCTGGATTTCACAGACTCTGTGATTGAATTTCAGATATCCATGAGGAGAATTTGAACAATCAGGCCAACCTTAATATTCCTGCATTGAGGTGTTGGTATAATCCTTTGACAGCGTACGTTGAAAGGTTGAAATGTCCCTAATGTTTTCCAAGTCAAATTTTTGTTGTTATTACTGACTAGTCTCACCTTCTGTGTCCAGTTTTTTATCAGTTATGATGGAAGTATAAATACTACCTTTTTCTATAATTAGATGTGACTAAAAATAATTCTGACAATGTGTTGCCTCCCATCTCTGCATGGGCTTCCTATCTTCCTCATCTGGACAGAATTTGGGAGCTTTCTTCTCCTTCTTACACAGACATTAGCCTTGTTTTTCTCCTTTGTTTCTTCCTATTCTTATCTATGTATGATTATTATTTTTTATGCTCTGTTTCTTTACTCCTTCTCTTACGTCATCTCTATTTTTTCCTTTTTACCCATCCATTTTTCTCATCGTTCTGCTTTTTTTTTTTGTTTGTTCACTTTTGACTTGTGTCTTATGTAGTGCAAGATCACCTGGTGTTTCTGAGTTTTAACACTCACGGAATGCTCTACTACAAGGTTGCCTTGGGAACTAAAGGAAGACCTAATTTTAGAACCTGTGATGCTTTTGGGGGTTAATGGTCATTTCTTCATCTACCATATGCACTTAGAGAAATTAGAAAAAAACTTCCCAAGAAAACTGCACGGTCTCAGCTGGGCAAATAGAATAGAGAGAAAAAAGACCAGAAAATGAAATTGGTACGTATGCCCCTTTTATGGTGGCTCAACAAAGTGATCACTGTTAAATGTTTCATTGTGAAGAAGACAGTATTTTATATATGTGTATATACATACACCATCTATAAACCTTGAAGAGATTGGTTTTACTTTGTGCTTGAAAAATACGTTTAGGATTAATATGATTTCTGTTTGTATTTATTTCACTGACAGGTATGGATAGGGCCACTATGTTAACTGTGGATGTTGCTGGCATCTTAACTAAACATTGTAGCACCAGATAGCTTCAGATGTTTCTTATTCTCAAACTGCAACTGCACACAGCTGTGATACTAGCCAGTCTATGCAGCCTGCTTACATGTTATTAGTGCTTATTCATGTGAGGAATTTCATCCCTTTCCAATATTTCCCATCACTGACATTGAGACTTGCATAATTGTACCTCGTAGTTGCTTCTGATTACCACCTATGAGACTTTGTGAAAGGCTCTTCAGAGATGTGATTGTATCGGCACACAGAAAATGGACATCTAATAGGTCTTAACCGAACGAATCATGCTTGTTTTTTACACAGGGAATAAATCACAAGATAGTGGGATTGCAGAGATGGAGGAACTTCCAGTCCCACACAACATCAAAATAAGTAACATCACGTGTGATTCCTTCAAGATTTCTTGGGACATGGATTCTAAATCCAAGGACCGCATTACTCATTACTTCATCGATCTCAACAAGAAAGAAAACAAGAATTCCAACAAATTTAAACACAAGGTAATCTTCATTTAAAAATCAAGGTATAAATACTTGATTTTAAATATATGAATCTCAGTGTTTTATTAACCTTTCAAAGCCAGACCATGGGAAACAGGTATTGGACATCCAGCAAAGGTGGGTTTTGATTAATCTGATTCACTTTTTTTTTTACTCAGAATACCCTCTCCGTCTCTAGCCTATGTGTGTGTACACCCAAATACATTTGTTTCATAGAGAACTGAACATTACCTTTTCTATTTCATTTGAAAACAGTTTTGGAACCTGTACAATGTATTGCAAGACAGGTATTTTTATTCCTGACTAGTTCTTAATCATTATTTAAACAATTTATGTATTCTGTGCCTGTCCTTGTTCAGTGACAGACTCATGAGAGCAACACATGTCATTTCAACAGAAGAGTCACAAATTCAAATGCATTTCTAGGAAGGCTTCCAGCAATTTTAGTTTGCAGCACTCAGCGCTGTGACCTGAATATTCATCTGGCCTCTTTCCTCAAGCCACTGATGCACGGTCATATTGGATGCATTGCAGAATCTGTACTTATCAAATCCAGCAAAATTTGCTTTGACCTCAGAATAGTTGAAATACTGAGATGTCTAGAGAAACATGGAATGAGAAGATTAAACAACACAATCATCTGCAAATTTAAAAACAATGTTGGCAACATCTCTAAAAGAAAAGGTTTGCCAAGGCACAAATAACCATCCAGACAAATACGAGAGCTGTAATTCTATCAATGCCTAAATTGCTATTGGTTTAGAAGCAAATGGGATAACCAGGAAATATTTCCACCAATTTCTCTGAGCCTTTTTATTGTGAGAGTATTTTTCCTGTGACTTCTGTTAAAAGCAGGTATATAATGTTCATGTTTGCTTATTTGACTTTCTCTTTTTAATGTGGTTGGAAGTAACGTATGCATTAAGTATAATGAAAAATCACTTACTAGTGCTTGAAATTGAGAATTTTACACATTTGGCCAAGATGTTGGCATTGCTAGGAACAGCATGCTAAGCATTACCAAATTTAATGTTATAATAGGCCTTTATTATGACCCATTTTTAATTGTAATAGCAAATAAAGTAAGGTATGTTTGTTTTTTTTCTTACTGTTATTACTTTTGGACAGACAGCCTTTGAATTTGAATTCCCATTTTATACTGCAGGAATAAATACACCTTCTAATATAAATGCTTACTGGGATGGATTCTTTTTAATTTCTTTCATTTTATTAATCTACACGTTTTTTCATTCATGTGCAAACTGGTGTAAATGTAAAGTTGTAAAATTTCTTTTTGTAAAAGGAAGGGTCATCCTAGCAGCTCAAACACTATATACACTTCAAAATCTGTATCACAGTGATGAGACTAGTGTTAAAATGGAGAGAGAAAAAAAAAAGGATATTGGTAGTGTAATAAAGATAATCCATTAGATTGTTTTTCTCAGCGATTCCCTAGCTTTTTACTGTGATGAAGTGTTTAGTGAAAGGAGAGAGGTAATTGGTTTTGTGAGAACAGGAGACTAAAGTCTATCAGTTAAAATGATGAATAAGTTGGATGTCTTGTCAGAACTAACTTAAAATTTCTTGGTACTAATTGTGTTAGTAACTTGGTAAAACTTTTTTTGTTTTTTGTTTGTTTTTTTCCCTGGCCAGAATGATGGAAATCCAGACAGCAGACAGGGTGGGCAAGAGAACTGCACAGACTGAATACTCTAACTATCTGTGCCAGAGCACAGCCCCTTCTCCTAGCAGAGCTTCTTAGAAAGAAAAGAGTGAGCCCTTCCACTTAGTTATAAAAAAGAGCATTGGGACTTACTCTCAGGAGGCATCCAGCAGTCAGGCTGTGGAAGGAGACAGGCATCTTCAGGGGAAAAAAATCATCCTTGCTTAGCTTACGGGCAGGGTAAATCACTGCAAGTGCCGGTCTCTCTCACAGGTGGTGAGCCCAGATGACCAGCTTAAACTATTTTCTAACTTGCAGGAGTTAATGTAAAGTCACAGTTTGCTCACATGGTTGTCAGCAAGTGACTTGGGATATAAACTGATTAACCTGATAGATAGATGCTGTACCTCAGTGTTGTGGTTTAGCCCCAGCCAGCAACTAAGCACCACGCAGCTGCTCGCTCACTCCCCCTACCCCGATGGGATGGGGGAGAGAATTGGAGGAGTGAGAGTGAGAAACACTCCTGGGTTGAGATAAGAACAGTTTAATAATTGAAATAAAGGAAAATAGTAATGATAATAATAATAACAATATACAAAGCAAGTGATGCACAATGCAATTGCTCACCACCCACCGACCAATACCCAGACAGCTCCCGAGCAGCGCTTGCTGCTCCCCGGCCAACCCCCTCCCAGTTTCTATACTGAGCATGACGCCATATGGTATGGAATAGCCCTTTGGGCAGTTTGGATCAACTATTCTGGCTGTGCCCCCTCCCAGTTTCTTGTGTACCTGGCAGAGCATGGGAAGCTGACAAGTCCTTGACTAGCATAAGCAGTACTTAGCAACAACTAAAACATCAGTGTGTTATCAACATTCTTCTCCTACTAAATCCAAAACAGAGCACTATGCCTGCTGCTAGGAAGAAAATGAACTCTATCCCAGCTGAAACCAGGGCACTCAGGAAAGGGGGCTGTTTGTTTCCTTGTGTACCTGGGAGAGCATACGTGAATGATTCATCCTTTCAATACTTTTTCTGTCGGCAAATTATACAAAGTATATTCAGCATATTTAGGGTGCATATAGTTGTATTATTTGTGACTATTATCATCATATCTGTGAAAGGAGGAGGTTTGTATTGGTAGTAGTATTGAAAGACTAGAATTCTAATAAGACTTTGTCTTTTTCTCAACGTAAAGTGCATACCTCCCCCCCTTTTTAAGATATGGAAGTATGATTATTCCCATGTAATAGGAAATTAAGCTCAGATATGTAGCAAAACTAAGACTAGAACCTGGGTGTGCTGAGTTTCCACAATGCTTCCTACAAGCAGACCTGGCAAAGGGAAGGATAAGACGAAATGGGAGAAAGCTGAAAACTGAAAGCTGCTGCTTTGGCAATGAAAAGGGTCTGCAAAGCAGGCATCTTTTCCCAAAAAGGGGAGAGGTAGTGTGACGCTTATACCTTGCTGCTTAGTTATTCAGTGCTTCTAGGTTGTTCTTGGAAATTATTGCCGTCTAGATACCTTTAGAGTTGTCTGGTGGGTGCTGGTGCTGGAGCAGCCATCTGCCACTCCAGAATCCTGGCTGTCCTTGAGCTGGCATATAACCTCCTTTGCACTTCTTTGGAGGCTCAGCCAGGAATGAGAGCTGAGCAGAAAAGAGATGAAAGGAAGAAATGGAAAATCCCCAGACAAATTTCAACATGAACGTTTGAACATTTTTTTCCTGAGGTCAGTATAGCGACCTTAAAAAAAAAAGGAAAGAAAAAAAAGTGTTTGCTTAGAAAAAGAACAACAGATTAGAGTTATGAAAAGCATCATACCTGTCCCTCCTTCCCAGCTGTGCAAGAGATAAAACCCTTTATTTAATGTGGTTTTAGGTAGTTTGCCCCTTTATTGATACAGTTAGAAGAGTTTCCTGATACACAGCTGGAAGGTAAGGCTTTGACGCATGGGGGCAATGAGGCTTTTAATGTTACAAGAAAACTGACAAAATTAATGGGGGCAAAAACCACCACCGGGTTGTGGGCACAGAGACCTGACCCAGGTGGAGGCAGTTTTTACCATAGCCAAAGAAAAGATGACAGAAAGACTAATGGTTGTAACTGTAGCAGCTGCTGACTGCATTAGAAGAAGCAAATTCAGTCCAGTGGGATGCCTCTGCAATATAGTTCCAGGGTGGTAGCTTTAAATGCCATTCAGGGTTTCTTTTTATTTTTTCCTTGTAATTTTTCTCTACATTTTATATATTATATATATTTCAGAGTGCACAACTGAATCCTGTACAGAGAAAGTTTTCTCCTAACTGTTATTGGATTTAAAGGAGAATTAGCAAAAAAGAAATTGTGACAACAAAATCTCACCCTTGATTATCAGTCAATCACATTTCAGTTCTTGTAATATCATAAGCTGCTAATTTTACAGTTTCTTAATATAGAAACTGAAGAATATTTTTTGCTGACAGAAAAACAATAAAAGAAAGATATTTTTCCATAATAGAAGACAAGCAAAAAAAAAAATCTTTCAGGTCTTGCTTACAGATCATGAACAGAAAATGTCTCTTTTCTATTTCTTTTTCCCTTAAGGGACTACCGTGCTAGTATTTATAGGTGGATGACTATGGGCTAGTATTTATAGGTGGACCGCTTTGGATGTTATCTAAAATGCCCACTTTTCACATGACAGCCAGCTTACTGTTCTGTGATTACTGATAAATATTCAAGAGTAAATACCTCTCTCACTCTGTCATAGCTCCTTGGGTACACCATGCAGAGAATCATTCAACTCCACCGTGAGTCCTTTCACCCACAGTTCTAGCAGTTCTTTTTTCTTCCCCTTGGTGGTCTGCGCTGCAGTCTTTGGTACTGTAGAAATTAGGTATTTCAGCAACAACAGGCAGCTATTCTTTGTTGCACAATGGTGCGATACACCAGAAGAGCGAAACTGAGTATCTGAAATGGTGGCGGGGTGGGAAGCAAAAGCGGTGCAATGACAGGCACAAACTATCTAGCTGTATGTTTGGCTTGTTCTGGCCCTTCCTGTACATAAGGGTATTTTGATATATGTAAAGCACACAAAGTTACTCTGCAATGCGTTTAATTTTCTCTGTTGAAGTTTGGTTTGGAAGATGTCAATAGCAATATAGCAAAATAGACTGATTGACAG